CAGCTGGCAGTTGGGATCACGGCCATTTGGGCACTTTATTTGTAATAAGCCTCTATAAAATGTCGACAAATTAAAAGACTAGACCCATAAGAATATATTAATAATCATAAAATAATATATTTCCTTGTAGAGAGAGTGGTAGAGAACGTGTTAAACTCGGAGCGCTCTTGCGGTTGTCTGACTGATCCGCCAGTGGATCTTGTTAAGGCATACTGCCAGCCAGCCAGCCAGTTGAAGATTGAACCCCTACTGTTAAATTGGACAGTTACTCTAGTTCAGTGATGGGCAAACTCGGCCCTTCCAGGCCACTTTCCTGCAGAGATTTGATCCAACCCTGATAAACTCACCTGCCTGTAGCCTTCTAGTAGTCTTGAAGACAATGATTAGCTGGTCCAGGTGTGTTTGATTAGGGTTGGAGCTAAATTCTGAAGGAAAGTGAAGTCTCAAGTTTGCCCACCCCTGCTCTTGTTAGTACAATGTCTCTCCTTAAGAACTTTCCTATTTAGCTTCATCAGAGTTGCCAAGTCAGCTTATTATACGCGACTTTGGGCTTCTTTTTTTGTAAAGTTGAATATTCAAATTTGCAGAAAACTAAACCCTAAAATTAGAAAACCTCTAAATTTGGAAGATCTGCACAGATTTGACGCTGAAACAAACAAGCAGGGGACAATAAAAGCATAAATACTTTTTGGGAAATATCATGCCTATGTAGCCAATGCAAAAATAGCCTAATTAAGTCAATAATGAATTAATAATAATACAGAAAGAAAGAAATTAACTAATAAAATAACAATAAAACCGTATCTTTCTATCTGTATAGACATGACATGAACAGATACATACACGATGTTTATGCAACATATTATTGAAACCGGTCTGTCTGGGTGTCTGCGCGTTCGCTCTTTCTGACCGTGTCTAAAAACTTAGTGAGCTCCCTACGTAGAAAGCATCGTTAGATATCACACGCGCGTTCCGAACGGTTTTTTTTTAGCAGCTCGTTAGGTATTGATACGCAGCCTTTCTCCAGTGCAGCATCCGCCATATTGTCTACCAGGAGACGCCGAGAGGTAATGCAGTGTGCATTTACGTCCTATTGGTACTTGTATTCCTACATGACTTAACTTTTTAATATTTCCTTCAGATAAGGACACACACGTAAGACACTACGCTACTAATACATGCTTATGTGAATACATATCGTGTTATTTGCTGGCGACACAGTTAGTGCTATTTGCTAACCACTAAACCCGTCGCGTATTCTTTATAAAAACATACATAAATGGACTATTTGATTCCAGGTCCGATTAAACACAGATATTGACTTCGTGTATGTTTTATGATTCTTATGAATATTAATTGTTTTTTGTTTACTTGTATACATTAGTCTTATCTTTAGTGCGAGTGTAGCTAGCGGCGTTAGCTTTGATGTGGCGTGTCGCGCCACGTTCGGCTAGCAGCGTTTCTACAATAAAACAAAGATATTTAGCCCTGTGTTCATATAGTAACTAGTTTATGCTTATATAATGTGCTTTACAATGTAATAAACAATTTGGAGTGTAAATTAGCTAAATGCGTCGGAAAATGTTTTAGAAATGACTTAGGCGTGGCAAACGCTATGCTAGTTAGCGGTTAGCTGGCTAACAGCTGGTTTGGAAGCTGATAATACGATTCTGAGAAATCCTGTTGTTATATTGTTTATATGACTTGTTTGCAATTAATTAATAATGTGGATTATATGTAGATAAAGTTGGGAATGCAAAAAAGCTGTCTACTGAGCTTGACCGGTTTCTTTGGCTGTGGCATAAGGTCTGTGGCTCAAAACAAGATATTGATTTAAGGGAAAATGTAATGTGTTCCTCGTTATAATGGAGGTTATGTAGTGCTTCAATATCATCCCTAGTTAGGCTTTTATGTGTTTGTGGTGCGTTTCTCTCGCACCTCTGCTTTAATTAAGCTCATTTATGTAGTTCTAATAATTAGTAATTCATTCAGGAAGATCAAACGGCTTGTCACGAACAGCAATTTGTTAGTCTAATGATGACTATATGGCAGTAGAGTGACCTGGTTGGTTTGGACGTTGGTCCATAAATCAGTACTTTGATACCCAGGCTGATGTTGCACAGCTGTGTCTGTAAAGTTTACAACATCCTTGTGTTCTCCAGCATCTGGAGGGCCATGAGGAATGACTTCTAGGATTGCTGTGTCTCCTGAATAAGCTCCTGGATGTCCTCTTTCATTCAAATTACAATCAGGTGTGTTGTTCGTGTGGCGCTTCTGGAAATATATTACATTGCAAATTAAAGTGGTTTACTCTGAGTTTGCTTGACTATCAGATGTCTTAACAAGCTTTTTTATTTATTTTGTAGCCTATGCTCCACCATAAAGTCATCACATCTGCCTTCATCAGCTCCACCTTTCATTTGCTGCTTGGAGGAACCCTCCAAGGTAATAACCCGTACAATCTCCTTTTCCATCTGTCCAATCCTATTCTGCTCACAGGTGATAGGAGATGAGTTTTGTTCCTGCTTTGTTGCAGTTTGCTGATTTTTGTAAAATAACTTATGTTTTTGCTTTTCAGATAAAAGGGCAGTTTCAGTTTAATATGTTGCGGGCTCATTTATTGGTAATAAATAATTGATAATAAATAATATTGATGATAATAAATTATCAAAAAATATTAGGCTTGTTTTGGGCTTGTTTTTGAAGCTGCGGTTGCTTATTTGTCTCGCGAGAGTTGGCAACAGTGAGCTCCATCTGTTTTGTAATGGCAACAGGTTTTCTCAGTTCCTTCAACTGACCTTAAATGGTGTCATCATCACCATGCTTGAAGGTAATAAAAAGGCTTTATGTCTACTAAAACCAAGTATAAAGAATTTTATGAAATCTCTCTCTGTATGGAAGGAACTGATTTTTATTGTACAATCATACAACTGAGTACAGGCTGAATTGAAATGAACAGGTACTAGAAACAGTAGTAACATTTATTGTGGTTGTTCAAAATTGCTCTGTTTTAAACAAATTTGATGAATATTCAAATTTGCAGAAAACTAAACCCTAAAATTAGAAAACCTCTAAATTTGGAAGATCTGCACAGATTTGACGCTGAAACAAACAAGCAGGGGACAGTAAAAGCAGAAATACTTTTTGGGAAATATCATGCCTATGTAGCCAATGCAAAAATAGCCTAATTAAGTCAATAATTAATTAATAATAATACAGAAAGAAAGAAATTAACTAATAAAATAACAATAAAACCGTATCTTTCTATCTGTATAGACATGACATGAACAGATACATACACGATGTTTATGCAACATATTATTGAAACCGGTCTGTCTGGGTGTCTGCGCGTTCGCTCTTTCTGACCGTGTCTAAAAACCTAGTGAGCTCCCTACGTAGAAAGCATCGTTAGACATCACACGCGCGTTCCGAACGTTTTTTTTTGAGCAGCTCGTTAGGTATTGATACGCAGCCTTTCTCCAGTGCAGCATCCGCCATATTGTCTACCAGGAGACGCCGAGAGGTAATGCAGTGTGCATTTACGACCTATTGGTACTTGTATTCCTACATGACTTAACTTTTTAATATTTCCTTCAGATAAGGACACACACGTAAGACACTACGCTACTAATACATGCTTATGTGAATACATATCGTGTTATTTGCTGGCGACACAGTTAGTGCTATTTGCTAACCACTAAACCCGTCGCGTATTCTTTATAAAAACATACATAAATGGACTATTTGATTCCAGGTCCGATTACACAGATATTGACTTCGTGTATGTTTTATGATTCTTATGAATATTAATTGTTTTTTGTTTACTTGTATACATTAGTCTTATCTTTAGTGCGAGTGTAGCTAGCGGCGTTAGCTTTGATGTGGCGTGTCGCGCCACGTTCGGCTAGCAGCGTTTCTACAATAAAACAGCACTACGCTACTAATACATGCTTATGTGAATACATATCGTGTTATTTGCTGGCGACACAGTTAGTGCTATTTGCTAACCACTAAACCCGTCGCGTATTCTATATAAAAACATACATAAATGGACTATTTGATTCCAGGTCCGATTAAACACAGATATTGACTTCGTGTATGTTTTATGATTCTTATGAATATTAATTGTTTTTTGTTTACTTGTATACATTAGTCTTATCTTTAGTGCGAGTGTAGCTAGCGGCGTTAGCTTTGATGTGGCGTGTCGCGCCACGTTCGGCTAGCAGCGTTTCTACAATAAAACAAAGATATTTAGCCCTGTGTTCATATAGTAACTAGTTTATGCTTATATAATGTACTTTACAATGTAATAAACAATTTGGAGTGTAAATTAGCTAAATGCGTCGGAAAATGTTTTAGAAATGACTTAGGCGTGGCAAACGCTATGCTGGTTAGCTGGCTAACAGCTGGTTTGGAAGCTGATAATACGATTCTGAGAAATCCTGTTGTTATATTGTTTATATGACTTGTTTGCAATTAATTAATAATGTGGATTATATGTAGATAAAGTTGGGAATGCAAAAAAGCTGTCTACTGAGCTTGACCGGTTTCTTTGGCTGTGGCATAAGGTCTGTGGCTCAAAACAAGATATTGATTTAAGGGAAAATGTAATGTGTTCCTCGTTATAATGGAGGTTATGTAGTGCTTCAATATCATCCCTAGTTAGGCTTTTATGTGTTTGTGGTGCGTTTCTCTCGCACCTCTGCTTTAATTAAGCTCATTTATGTAGTTCTAATAATTAGTAATTCATTCAGGAAGATCAAACGGCTTGTCACGAACAGCAATTTGTTAGTCTAATGATGACTAGCTTTACAATGTAATAAACAATTTGGAGTGTAAATTAGCTAAATGCGTCGGAAAATGTTTTAGAAATGACTTAGGCGTGGCAAACGCTATGCTAGTTAGCGGTTAGCTGGCTAACAGCTGGTTTGGAAGCTGATAATACGATTCTGAGAAATCCTGTTGTTATATTGTTTATATGACTTGTTTGCAATTAATTAATAATGTGGATTATATGTAGATAAAGTTGGGAATGCAAAAAAGCTGTCTACTGAGCTTGACCGGTTTCTTTGGCTGTGGCATAAGGTCTGTGGCTCAAAACAAGATATTGATTTAAGGGAAAATGTAATGTGTTCCTCGTTATAATGGAGGTTATGTAGTGCTTCAATATCATCCCTAGTTAGGCTTTTATGTGTTTGTGGTGCGTTTCTCTCGCACCTCTGCTTTAATTAAGCTCATTTATGTAGTTCTAATAATTAGTAATTCATTCAGGAAGATCAAACGGCTTGTCACGAACAGCAATTTGTTAGTCTAATGATGACTATATGGCAGTAGAGTGACCTGGTTGGTTTGGACGTTGGTCCATAAATCAGTACTTTGATACCCAGGCTGATGTTGCACAGCTGTGTCTGTAAAGTTTACAACATCCTTGTGTTCTCCAGCATCTGGAGGGCCATGAGGAATGACTTCTAGGATTGCTGTGTCTCCTGAATAAGCTCCTGGATGTCCTCTTTCATTCAAATTACAATCAGGTGTGTTGTTCGTGTGGCGCTTCTGGAAATATATTACATTGCAAATTAAAGTGGTTTACTCTGAGTTTGCTTGACTATCAGATGTCTTAACAAGCTTTTTTATTTATTTTGTAGCCTATGCTCCACCATAAAGTCATCACATCTGCCTTCATCAGCTCCACCTTTCATTTGCTGCTTGGAGGAACCCTCCAAGGTAATAACCCGTACAAGTATATTTATGAATCTTTGTGAAATGAATGTAGTTAATGTAGTTTTCAATCTTTTAGATGCTACTGACCCGCAAATATTATCCTCATGAAAAGGACCCCATCCTAAAATTTCAAAGGCATTTATATGGTTCCTTTTTATAAAAATTTAATTCATACTGTAAAAATGTCAATATTAATTGGTTAAGTTACATTATTTTTAAAAATTCATTATAGTACTGTACTTTTAGATGTATTTATTTGTTAATTTATTTGCTTATTTTTATCATTCTTTATTCATTATTTTATAAATGTTAAAAAAAAAAAATTAACCTATTTTGAAAACCCCAGTCTAGATCATACAATTCATAGTTTTTATTTACTGTTCTACTCAACACTTAGATTTGTAAAACATCTTTTTGGGCGTCCTGCAATCTTTCTGTATTATATTTTGTTGTCTTTCCAGGTGTTTCAGGGAATACCTTGTGTGTAGAATATGTCTGGCCCTGTCCCAAGTCGCTCTCGAGTTTACCCTGATGTAAACACACAGCGACCCAGAGAGTACTGGGACTATGAATCCCATGTGGTGGACTGGGGGTGCGTTTTCTTTAATTTTTTGCACTTTTAAATTACATGCACTATAAATAGCCAATTTGACCTGTAATTATGCAGCATTATCCCTGTGGATAGTTTCTTTGTTGTTCTCTTTCAGGGGCTTGGATCAAATGTGCTGCTTGTTACTTATTCAGTGTGTTAAACTCACATGGTTTGTACTCTATGTTTGTATTCTGCAGAAATCAGGATGACTATCAGTTAGTGCGAAAGCTTGGCCGGGGAAAATACAGTGAAGTGTTTGAAGCCATAAACATCACTAACAATGAGAAAGTAGTCGTCAAAATACTCAAGGTATATTTGGATGTTTGCACTTATATATCTATACACTTGTATTGATGATTTGATCGGAGATATGTCAGTTTATGCTTCTGTTTTTTTTTCTTCTATTTTTAGCCAGTGAAAAAGAAGAAAATTAAACGAGAAATAAAAATTCTGGAGAACTTAAGAGGAGGCCCCAACATAATAACGCTTTTAGACATTATAAAGGATCCTGTGGTATGTTTATGAAAATATTGGGGAGTTTACTTTCCATTGGCTTCCTAACTTCAAGACAAAGTTTTTTTTTTTTTTTTTCCCCCTTCTTTTTATTAATGACTTGCAGGTTTTGTTTATTTTCTTGGAACCTTGATGCATTGGCAAAGTATGTGTGAGTTTGTTTGTGTGCCATCAGGTTTAAAACCCATTCTGCTTTATTTTCAATGTACAGTCCCGAACACCAGCGCTGGTTTTTGAGCATGTTAACAACACGGACTTCAAGGTTAGATTTTTTTTTTTTGACGCCCCTCCATAGAGAATTATTTTTTTTAATTTGATGTTGTAGTAAACCATATCTTTTTCTTCACAGCAACTGTATCAAACTTTATCAGACTATGACATCCGCTTCTACATGTATGAAATTCTTAAGGTAAGATGATCACTAAAAATATTGATAAAAATAATTAAAAGTGGGTCTTTATAAAGTGATATCATGGAACAAAACCATCCAATATCTGTCTGTCTGGCTTATTTTGCAGTGGCAAAATGGTTTCATTTTTGCTCATAGTTTAGGTTAAAAAGTTTCAACAGTGCCCAAGTGCTCTCCTCAAATTGATGTTGGATCTAATTCTTATCTCCGCTCTTCTATCCCCAGGCTCTCGACTACTGCCACAGTATGGGAATAATGCACAGAGACGTAAAGCCACACAATGTCATGATTGACCATGAGCACAGAAAGGTATTGGCCAAGTTAAGAGTTTACCCAACATTGAGCGTTATTTTTTATTTCTGTGATGGCAAAGCTGAATGTTCTGCAGCTATTACTCCAGGCTTTAGTGTCACATGATCCTTCAGAAATCATTCTAATATGTGTATTTGATGCTCAAGTAATTTTTTTTTCTTATCAATGTTAATTGATTTTTTCTTCTTCTTTTTTTCCAAATTAAAAGGTAAATCCTTGCTGAATAAAATTACCTCATTGACATTTTTAATTTTGATTTGTTGAATGTCCATTTTTACTTTTTAAAGCTTCGTTTAATTGATTGGGGCTTGGCTGAGTTTTACCACCCAAACCAGGAGTACAATGTACGTGTGGCTTCCCGATATTTTAAAGGCCCTGAACTACTTGTGGACTATCAGGTTAGTGTCCTAAAATTCAGGATTTGAATTTTCTTGAACATTAATAATTTTCTTTCAGATTAACGGTCTGTTAATCTTCTATTTTTTTTGTCAGTATTCCATAGTTAAAATTTCACATTTAATGAATTTCAGCTTATTTTTCTGAGTTGTAAAAAATATTTTGGTTTGTATCTAGATGTATGACTACAGTCTGGATATGTGGAGTCTTGGATGCATGCTGGCCAGTATGATCTTCAGGAAGGAACCATTTTTCCATGGACATGACAACTACGATCAGGTCAAACGTTTATTTTTGATTTTAGCACGAACAGCCTTATTTATTAAAAAGATATAGCAGGGATGTTCAGTCATTCAACTCATGATTTCATAAATTTGCTGTGTTTATAAAAAAAAAAATATATATATATATTCCTGTGATTTATTTTTCTTTCTAGTTGGTTCGGATTGCAAAGGTTCTGGGTACTGAGGACCTGTATGATTACATTGACAAATATAACATTGAGCTGGACCCACGCTTTAATGACATTTTGGGCAGGTATGACTTTAATACAGTGTTGATTAGCATAGACAGACTCTTTATCAAGTTGATTAAAAGAAGTATTCTGTTTTAAATTATCTCCATAGTTCTGTACGTGTGTGTGTAGTCATGTTTGCAACATCTTTCACTTGTTCGCCCAGACACTCCCGGAAGAGATGGGAACGGTTTGTGCACAGTGAGAATCAGCACCTGGTCAGTACCGAGGCTCTGGATTTTCTGGACAAGCTGCTTATTTTGGATTTTAGCACGAACAGCCTTATTTATTAAAAAGATATAGCAGGGATGTTCAGTCATTCAACTCATGATTTCATAAATTTGCTGTGTTTATAAAAAAAATATATATATATATATTCCTGTGATTTATTTTTCTTTCTAGTTGGTTCGGATTGCAAAGGTTCTGGGTACTGAGGACCTGTATGATTACATTGACAAATATAACATTGAGCTGGACCCACGCTTTAATGACATTTTGGGCAGGTATGACTTTAATACAGTGTTGATTAGCATAGACAGACTCTTTATCAAGTTGATTAAAAGAAGTATTCTGTTTTAAATTATCTCCATAGTTCTGTACGTGTGTGTGTAGTCATGTTTGCAACATCTTTCACTTGTTCGCCCAGACACTCCCGGAAGAGATGGGAACGGTTTGTGCACAGTGAGAATCAGCACCTGGTCAGTACCGAGGCTCTGGATTTTCTGGACAAGCTGCTACGTTATGACCACCAGGCCCGACTGACAGCCCGCGAGGCCATGGACCACCCTTACTTCTGTGAGTTCATGAAAACCTGTGAATGCATCTCCAGTCTCTAATTTAATGTACATTCTTGCATGCATGTTCTTTTATACACTGTTGAATAAATTGATGACTTAATTTATTATACACATTGAGCTATAGTGAATAATGGACCCTGCAAGGTCTCCGATCACTTGATGACACTAGCATTTTTTTATTTTAATTTCATTGTCTTAAGTAGCACGGGTAAATTTGTAGCAATCGCCAACAATACATTGTAATGGGTCAAAATTATAAATTTTTCATTTATGCCGAAAATCATTAGGATATTAAGTAAAGATCATGTTCCATGAAGATATTTTGTAAATTATCTACCGTAAATTTATCAA